TCTCATTGTCAAGAAAAACCCTAAACCATTTTAAATGCCATTTTCTGAAGGTCTTTGAAAGGTTTGAAGACTGTCTCACTATCTCAAATATATTTCTGTATATCTAGAAAACCTAACTTACCTAACTATAAATTCCATTATCATTAACTATCTATAGTCTGTATTCAATTATGCATTACATTTTAAAAGATCAGTATAAGCACAATACTTAATCAAGAGGAGAAATATACACATCACAAAGTTGACCTTGAATTTGTATCAATAAATGAAAAACCATACCCATACCATAATTCCCCTTTTTACCATTAACAAGAGATCGGCTGTGATCATTAACCAATTATAAACAACCCCATTTAAATGAAAACAAAGATTTATAGACAAGATGGGAATTAGGATGTCGCTCATTCCAAACTGCTTCATGCTGGAAGGGGGCGCTGTTCATACCATGGGGATCATGACAAAACTCAGAAACCTGTATAAGTCCTTATTTTCAGGGTCTGTGAAGCTCCATCATCTTAGCTGTTTCAGTTGTTGGAACACCTGGTCCACTGCTTCCGGGGGTCTTGGTTCATCAAACCACAGAAGCCTGGAAGGAATCCTCAGCTTTTTATTTTCTGTAGAAACATAATTAAAAACTCCTTTTCCAAGTAACATATCCTTATACTTAAATTTTGAAGTCAAGGCATTTTTAAAAGATATAAGTTGAATTAATTCAGCAGCATTTATAATCAAGTGTACTTTAGTAGCTGTTCCTTCCTGAGCAATGAAAAAACTGAAAAACACAATAGCATACAGTATCCAGACTCTCTGTGTATTTTCCATCTTTACTTGGCTTATTTATTTATTTATTAATTATTATTTATTTCTTTACTTTTATTTATTTTTCTCTGAGACAGGGTTTCTCTTTGGAAATCCGCCTGCCTCTGCCTCTGGAGCAATTTCTACCGGCGTGCGCCAACACAGCCGGCTTCTCTATTTTATTTTTGTTTTTCTTTTTCTCTCTCAATCCTATGTGTATTTTTAAACACACTGTAAACCTTTAGAGATTTTTCTTCATCCAAGTCTGACTTTACTGTAAATCTTTATGTTTTTCTGGCCACATGTCTTATCTGTTAAAACCGCGGCAGTTTAAACTGCAGTTTTTCCAAGATGGCGGGCGTAAGCGTGATTCCAGTTTACTGTCTCAGTCTGACATCCAGCAAAAGCTGCCGGCTCAGAGATGAGGTCACTGCCACTTCCAGCTGTACATATAACTTTTCAATTGTTAGCACAGTCTCTTAAAAGAACCTTGCTTTTTTTTTTCTTTTTATGCCGAGTCAGGAAGACTCTGGTAAGTGAGCCGCGTGAATCTCGGCTTGTCGCTAGCAAAACAGAGCCCACCTGAGAAAATGCTGCTACCAAAACTCTGTGCTTCTCTCCGTTCTTTTGTTTCTAAAATTCCTTTAAAGCTTTTGTCATTCTGCGTGGAAATTCATGATCCCACTCCTGATCACCATTTTGTAAAGGGAAGCTTTTTCTTTGTGAGAAGCCTTCCTGCCAGCCTGGTTCTACAGCCACATGAGTCCCAAATAAACACACAGGAGGCTATATTAATTATGAAGCTGTTGGCCTTGCTTGTTTCTTACTGGCTAGCTCTGACTTAAGTAATTACCCCATAATTGTTAATCTAAGTATTTCTCTTACCAGAGAATAGTTCCGGGCTTCCTACCCCCATGGTGTTACATCTTGACTCCCCTGTGTTTCTCCTTCCCAGAGTTCTCCTGGACTCCTAGTCCCTCCTATCTAGATTCCTATTGGCCCAACAGTGCTTTATTGACATAATCACAGGACTTCCCACATCACCAGTCCCAAGTTTGATTTTCCAGAGTATGGAAGTGAGTCTACCGTCTCCAACTCTTTCCCATTCTGTGAGGTTGAAAGTCATTCATTCCACATCAGCCTCCAGTTGAAGGTTTTTCTTCCTGTGCATGGGATGTATGACCAGCTTATTATGGGGCCCCCCTCTTCTCTACAGTTCTACACACACACACACACACACACACACACACACACACGCATGCCTGTACTCTGTACAAAGATTCATATTGTGCAGGGTATACTCCATGTAATATACATACTAGAGGGGTGCCTGTCAAATGGATCAGACACTGAAAATTGTAGAGCTTGTATAGAAGTAGAAGTCTGTCAATCAAGGCTTAGAGATAATCTCTGAACAGTGAGGAGAAATGGGCTTTCAGAAGCAACAATGCTTACTCTTCAGTAAGAGAAGGGGGATAACCCAGAGGCACTGAATCCCAGTAAGATTCAAGGAAGAGGGTGGATAAATTTGAATTCCTTCTGCTGCAAACTTGTACCGTCCCCTCCACACTCGGGTGTGACTTACGTGCAGGCTCTCTCACACAACACAGCTTTCAGAGTGTAGTTTGATCTCTCCCAAATATTCTCTTTCCCAGATTTTTTATGCAAACATTAAAGACAACTATGTAAAGGGTGAACATTTTCATAATGATCTAGAATCACATAGATAGTAAAGGCTGTTCAAATAAGGGGGCCTTGTAGCAACTCCCCTGCAGCCAGCATAGCAATGGTAATGTCAGTGTTTTAGGCAACAGACTGAAGGCAGATTAAGTTACTTGCCACATCTGTGTCAAGGCCTTTGCCAAACAGTAAGCCTCCTTCACAGCCTTTCCTCTCTACCAGCTCTCTACCAAGGAGAACATCAGAGCTCTAGAAGCATGGTGAAGCCAGAGGATGGAAAGATCTTGGGTTCCTGCATCACCAAATGGAGCAAGAGTTACCTCTTGTATAGACTCTCCATCATGATTGCTGTGTTGGTGTGAAGTGAACTTTTCATTGTAATTTGATTGTTATGTGATGGGTGTTCTCTATTAAAACAATCAAGTCTATCCTGGCTAATAGCACAAAAGTTAGGCAGAACCCAAAACCCCTGTTTTAGATCCTCTACTCTATAGTATGGAAAATCCAGTTCAAATGAAGGCCTTTTCCTGGCCATTGTCACTGAGCTCAGATAGGAAACTTCTTAGTGCAGAAGGACACTAGATTGACGACTCATCTCTGTCACAGATGGGTGTGGTTTGGGTCAGCTCTACATCAACATGAGTCACGAGAGTAGTGAAAGTTTCAGGTATGACAGCAAATAATGAATCAACATGACTTTTCATTCCTGTTGCTAGAGCCAAGCCCGCCCTAGCTGCTGTGTACTAGAGCTCAGATCAGTTGCTGTGCTGCACGATTAATGGTCTAATAGGACAAACAGAAAATCCAACAAACACAGTACTTCCATTACAGAGGATGAGGATTAGGTGGTGAGGGAGACCACAGAGGACTCTCAGATCTCCAGTTGGGAGAAGCCAGTAAAGGATTTCTGAAAGAAAGATCCTTTCTCTTTATTATTATTTTTATGGATTTTTACTTTTTTATTTAAATAACATTTTTGTTTATTTTACATACGACCAAAGTTTTCCCTTCCTCCTCTCCTCCCATCCCTCCCCCATTCCAGCCTAACCCCCTCCATTCAGAAAGGGGCAGACCACCCACGGGCTTGAACAAAGCATGGTACCACAAGGTGAGACAGGACCAAGCTCCTCCTCTGTGTCAAGGCTGGGCAAGGTAACCCAGCACAGGAAACAGGTTCCCAAAAGTCAGCTAAGTGCCAGGTCCTGATCTCACTCTTACGAGCCTAACAAAGAGGCCAAGCTATACAACTGTCACACACAGACAGAGGGCCTAGGTCCGTCCCATGCAGGCTCCCTAACTATTGGTCCAGAGTCCATGAGTTCCTACAAACTCAAGTCTTTTTTATTATTATTAATTAAATTTATTAATTAAAAAAAAGAAAGATCTGGGTGTTGGTGGCTCATGCAGCACTCGGGAGGCAGAGGCAGGTGGATCTCCATGACTTCGAGGCCAGCCTTGTCTACAGAGCAAGTGCCAGGACAGGCTCCAAAAGCTACACAGAGAAACCCTGTCTCAAACCACGCCCCCACAAAAAAAAAGAAAGATCCTTCCATTCGAAGCCATAAGAGAGGGCAGCTTTTATCTTTCAATATCAACATGGTGAGGGTGGGAGGCAGAAAGAGAACTAGAGAAGTAATTTTATATTCTTTTGAAGCTAAATCCGTGTCCTTTGAAACTAGATTATCCAAAGTGTTCATTATGACCCAAATGGTAAATACTGAGAAAATAACTTCAAAATATTCAAAAAAGGAATGAGGGGATCACAGTGATCCACTCGAAGATACCAAACACATACAAAAGAAGTCAGTGTTTAAGTTATCAAATAACAGAAAGACAGGAAATGGCAGAAGTCCTCCTATAGTAATCACTTCACACACAAAGATTAAATCTATCAGTTACCAACTGTTAGTAGTCTAGCCCTTGGGAGACAGAGAAAGGCAGATCATGAGTTTAAAGCCAGGCTAGGATATACAGTGAGACCTACTAGAAACATTATAGGCAATGGGAGAATGTGGTATGCTAATTACAGATAAAAATATAAAAGCCGTTTCTTCCCCATTAACAACAAACAAAAAGGAGACGGATAAGTCACCCCGGTACTATCCAGAGAGTCACTTTAAGAACTCAAGCCTCGGGTGATAAATATAACAAGGACATGCAAGACCTCTATAGGGAAAAATTTCAAAAAACAAACAACAACAACAAAAATAAAAAAAAACCTGTAATTAAGACTGGGGAGGTAGATCATGCCTGGCATGCACAAAGCCCTGGGTTCCATTCTTAGACACACACACACACACACACACACACACACACACACACACACACACACACACACACGCACACACTGAGGGAGAGAGGAGGAAAGGGAGAGACAGCGATTTTTCATTTCCACATGAAGAGGATGAAGACATAGCAAATCTAGGAACAGGACCTACCCCTGTAGTGGGCGGGGCTAGGAGGTGTAGGAGATGGTTGGGTTGTGTGTAACAAGCAGAGAGAGGCCAGTCCCAGCGGCCACCTCAGAGCCTCTTCTCCTCTCTTCTCACAGCAGAGTCTGGGAAAGCCTAACCATCCCCGGTCAGGACTTATCACCCATCCTGCCTGCACCATGCCACCGCTGTCACCTTTCCAGCTCCTGCTGGTGTTCAGCCTAGCACTACAGCTGGTGTCTGCAAGTCCCAAGCAATACTTTCTGAGTAGGTGCTGGGCTTGGGCTGCAGGGGAGGGAAGGGGTCCACTCCTGTAGAGAAGAGATAGCTCAGAGGGACATCTAGAGAGTTTCACAATGGATAGGAGAGTGCCACGTTCAAGGAGCCATACTTTATAGTCGGACAACTCCAGACTAGAACCTCTGCCTGCTTGCTCATTGCATGACTCCAACCCCTCTAAAACCAATGGGTATGAGCTTTTCAAATGTAACCTTAAAGAATTTTATTGAGACAGGAGGAAGGAAATGAGCTGGTACATTCAGGCCTGGGGCACTCTTATTAGTCCATGAGACTTCCCACCAAATGTTAATTGCAATAAATGTCGTCAGCCTCATCCTACAGATTACTTTTGCTGTCCCTGGCTCCATCATGAACAGACAGGAAAATGAAATAGGTAGAAATCAAGGTTCGGCCGGGCGTTGGTGGCACACGCCTTTAATCCCAGCACTCGGGAGGCAGAGGCAGGCAGATCTCTGTGAGTTCGAGGCCAGGCTGGACCGACAGCCTCCAAAACAATTCAGAGAAACCCTGTCTCGTAAAACCAAAAAAGAAAGAAAGAAAGAAAGAAATCAAGGTTCAATCTTGGAGGATATGTAGGAAGGAAGGGAAGGGAAACCTTGCATTTTTTTGTTTTGTAAAATTAAGAGGCACTGTACAATTACCAGTGACTAGCATTCACAGAAGAGTACAGACTAGAGTCTGTCTCATTGGCCACTACTGCCCAGCTTAACCTAGCAAGGGCGGTAATGACTATGGGCTGATACGCAGTGGGAAGAGAGACATTATTGTCTGTGCATTCTTCTATATTTGGGCCTCAGTGAAAGAATACGACTTATAGCACATGTTTTGGGGGAGACTCAGTTCTGTTTGCAGAGCTTCTGAGAGGAAAAAGAGAGCCCAATCTTGAAATTCTGAAGCCCATTCTGAAATTCCCACACGTCTCACCACAAAAAAATAAAAAGCCGCTCTGAGAATTCAATTGTGAGTTGGGTCCCAGTTCTCTGACCCAGTACTTGCAGCTTGTTGGGTTCATGGTTATACCAAACTTACCTTCTGCCTAATCTTCCTCCAAACAAATAGCCTATGTTTGGTTGACTCTAGGATAAATCGTTAAGGAGAGTTTGAAAGACTTTCTCAAGACTACACAATAAGTTCGTATGGATTAGGTGTGCAATAGCGCTTTTCTTTTGTTTTGTTTTAGCTTACTACATATACATCCGCATTCATGTCCTTGAAATGGAGCCTACCAGGGTTTATAGGGGTTCTGCATCTGGTCTGTAGGAATCATAAATGTACAATGAGTTCAGGGTTCCACCAAATATTCTTGGGTCAGACATCTATCCTTAGTTCACTGAACTGAGCTCAGAGGAAGACAGAGCTAGAGGCAAAACCTGCTTCCATCCCTAGAGAACACAAAGTAGACAAGGTTGCTGCTGCCTGTTCTTTGGACCACTCTGACCTAGTCTCCATTGCAGAGTATATCTTGGAACCTCCACCCTGCAAATCAGAGCCTGAGAACTGCAGCAGATTCTGTACCCAGCAGGAGGAATGTCCAGAAAACCTTCAGTGCTGCTCTGCCTACTGTGGGATAGTCTGTGCCTCAAACAAAGTCCCAATGCAAACACGTAAGGGTATCCTCTCCCAGCCCTGGCACCAGAGCTGCTGGCAGAGGCCAACAGCAGAGCCTCTTTTCCTTTAATCTTATTGCTGTTGTTATTGCCATATTCCCAATATTGTCTGTCTTTACCAAGGATGATTTCCACAAAACTCCTAATTAAAAGAACCCTCAGGTTCCACAAGACTTCTCTCCCACCATAGTATCTGTGACTCTCTCCCCCTGCCTCTCTGAACACACTCCTGTCCCCCTGCCTCTCTGAACACACTCCTGTCCCCCTGCCTTTCTGAACACACTCCTGTCCCCCTGCCTCTCTGAACACACTCTCAGTTGCCTCTTCCTCTATGCTGGGACCTCCCTTGTCCCAGAATCTACCTTTATCCCAGCAGCTGCCTGGAATGATGTATCTATCTGGGCAAAGATGTGCCCCCAAATCACCAGCATTATCACAAGGCCAGAAGAGCCTTCTTCATGGCCAGATTGCCTGGTCCTCCATTCTTCGCTTCACTGGTCTGTATTTGAACTCATTCCCTGGGAGCAGAGCATGGTCTACATCATAAAGAAGCAGAGTCGTGTCCTAGGGGGATGGCAAGATGCCCAGACCTGAGGCTTTGCCAAGGGACAAACTGTCCAGCCTTCAGTGGCTGAGCAAGCACACTGACCCTTCACGCTCTGGGAGTCACGGGTTAACTCACTGTGCCTCTCTGCGACGGCCTGCTCATGAGAAGGGGGAGTGAGAGAGAAAGAGGCCACCCGTGCCTTAGAACATTGTGGGGACAACACGACCTGAACGGATGGAAGGACACAGTCACGGAAGAGACCCTGCACCATGAGAAGAGTGCACAGGAGGCCGCCCTTTTCCTTTCCGGGCTCTAGGTGTTTACTCTTTGAGAAGGGGGGGGTCACTTTTATAATCTCCCTGAGATTACAGAAAGTGGTAAATAAAATGGAGTTCCCTGTCACTCCACCACCAAAACAAAAATGATATTTACCATTTGTGGCTTTTGTTCAGACCCCCCTCCTCCCCCCCCCTCTCTTAATGTAGGAGCTGTGCTGAGGAAAAGACTCAGTGGTTAAGATGGCTGGCTGTCATAAGAACCACGATTTGGATCCCAGTACCTCACAAAAGTCTCTAACTCCAGCTCTAAGGGATCCAACACCCTCTTCTGGTCTCTTCAGACACCTGCACACACAGGGGTGCATGGATGTATATGTGTGTATAAGCACACACATATACATAAAACAATAAAATGGATTTTAAAAATTTAAATGTAAGAGTTAATGGTCTGTTGGTAGTCTGATGTCCCCAGAGTTTTCAAATAAGAATAGTGCTACCTTGACTCCAAGTGCTCTCACTGATCTCATAGAGAATGTTCTATGAAAGCAGGTGAGGCTAGCACAACGCAACAGGTGTGTGAACACTGCTTTACCCTTTCACCACCCCTGCCTGATGCCTCGGTGTTATTAGTATTTATTGGTTGATTAATTTTGGGGTTTTTGTGTTTGTTTTTGTTTTTGAGGCAGGATTTCACTACATAGCTCAGGCTGTCCTGGAACTCACTATGTAGACCAGGCTAGCCTTGAACTCACCTACCTGCCTCTGCCTCCTGAGTGCTGGGATTAGAGGTACCTTGCCACTATGCCCAGCTTTGATATCTATTTAATGATGGTTAATTATATACCATCATGACAGGGACTTTCACAGGGCCTGATAGTATAGAAGAATTTTTTACATTTACTACATTAGTATTTAGTTCTAAACTGTGCAAGACATAAAATCCCAGTCTTGTCTTAATCAGTTTGAAAGGATTTATATGCACGTTTGCCTTTTGGTGAATGTGAAGACTGAAGATCCACGGGTATCAAAATAAGTAAAGTCATGCCTAGAAAGACAGACTGGTAAGGCGATGGGGAGGTGACTCACTGGGTAAGAGAGCATGCTATACAAGCAAGAATATCTGAGTTTGAATCCTCAATACCCAAGTGAAAACTGAGCATGACTGTGTGTATTTAGAAGCCCAGTGTTGGGAGGCCAAGTCAGACAGATAGATCTTAGAGGTCGTGGACCACCCAGCCTAGCCAAAAAATGGAGCTTCACATTCAGTGAGAGATTCTGCCTCAAAAATAAGGTGAAGAGGTATAGAGGAAGACACCAGTGTCTTTTCTGAGCTCTACGTGGGTATGCATTGGTTCACATACATGTGTGCATAAACTATACACCACATATATACACACATATACAGACATACAATAACATGCTGATTAAATCGTGATATGGCTAAAAATGTTAAGTGTCACTTATACATGCAAAATGTTTCAAATAGGTTTACTCTTCAAAACAACAGGAGAGGAATTAAGGACCCATAGTGTAACACAGATGGGTGTGTTATGGCTGTAGAATCCATTTTTCATTTTCATGCATCTTATTTTATTATTTATTTTAATCATAATTTGAAAATACAGGTGCATGAGTCTTCTTTGGAGTTAGGAAAAACAGTCAAGATCTCAACAAGAGCACTGCCTGCTCTGGATGCTTTAAGTGTATGCTCAGCAGCTGTCACACAAGGAATTAACTGCAGAGTGCTTCATAGTATCAGGAATTCCATAGCCCAGATGGGGATGTCCCCTCTGATGGAGATGGGCAGTATATGGACATGCCTTGAAGAATAGATGAGATCTTCTTTCAAAGATTAACTTCAGGGGATCAGCCCACCAGGAAACAAAACCCTGATGGGTGGCTAGGCAAGCCCTGAGAGCCTCAGCCCCAGAATTTTTCTTGGCAGGCCAATCCCCTGAAGTCAATTGCCATCTGCTGCTTCTCAATGGCACAGCCCTCTCATGGCCACTGGCACAGCCCCCTCTGCTCACCACAAACCTTTTCTCCAGATTGAGTCCAGCCTTTCGCAAGTATCACAAGACTGTGCCTTGATTCTGTACTAAGATGACTCACTTCAACAGACAGAAGGAATAACAAAAGGAGATTGACCTGTTGACTATAGTGACCGATCCTTGTGAAGGTGACGTGGGACTGTTGTCAAGTAGTTAGACAAGAGTTAGGTCTAGAACAATGGACTTTTGAGGGCACTCAGTCTGGTGCAGTGCCACAGCAACCCATACAAGACCGCAAATGAGATAGCATATTTCACATGCCTGAGAAGTAAGAGATTTAGAATATTCTGTCAGGTTAAAAAAAAAGAGGAAATATGTATGGTTTTTTGAAAAGTCCTTAACACTTGCCACAACTTTCTGATGAGGCCATAATATTCTCCTTATTGTAGTATACACACTTAGAAATGTCATTCACTCTCATATATGTGATAACATTTATTCTATTCCTTTATGTCTCTTATTGTTGTACATAGAGATGATTTTTAAGATAATGCTTAAAATACATTATTTTTAAGTAGTTGGGACTTAATTAATAGTTGGGACTTAACCCAGGGCCTCACAATTGCTGGACAAGTATCCTACCACTGAGCTACAAAGCCCCCAACCCTGATTAGGATGCGTTGTGTGGGTATTTAAATCCTTATACAACCAAAGTCTGAGCAGCACACAGTAATTATATGCTTCTTGAAGGTCAGCAAGACAGCAGAAGCTGAGCTAATGCAAACTGGCTCTAGATGAGCTTGGAAGCAAGCTGAGGATGGGGTCTGGTTTTGTTTCCTCCTTCAAGGAATCAATTCCAAGCTCCTGCACATGTTAGACAAGTGTTCTACCACTGAACTATATCTCCAGTCCTCTTGTCCTCTTTTGGTCTCTGTGTTCCTCATTCTTTTGGGGCCAGTGGTCTCTCAAGGCATGGCTGCTCAGGGAAAAATTCAGAAGTCAAAGGAATATACACAATATCATGGTTTTCTAGTTTGGGAACACCCCTTGGCCAAACAAAGCAAGAAACAAGAGCAAATCAGAAATCTAAGGTATGCAAAAAAGGACAGCCTGACCATTTGAAGACCATTGGAAGAACATATGTACTGTGGTATAGGTTTAATAAGGCTTTACAAGAGAGAGATGAACTTTAGTACTACAAAAGAATGATGTTCCTAAAGTGTTTACCAACTGCATTTCCAAGCAGAAAAGTGCTTCCTATAGACAGGGCTTTGACATATTGATATATGGTTAGTGCTTATGACTATACTAGAAACAATGAACAAAGATCAAAAAGGTAGAGACTGAGCAGGAAGATAAGGAAGGCTACACTTCAGGTACCACATCTTTTTTTTTGTTTTGTTTTGTTTTGTTTTGTTTTGTTTTTTTGAGACAGGGTTTCCCTGTGGCTTTGGAGGCTGTCCTGGAACTCACTCGGTAGACCAGGCTGGTCTTGAACTCACAGTGATCCGCCTGCCTCTGCCTCCCGAGTGCTGGGATTAAAGGCAGGCACCACATCTTTGAATAATACAGAAGGGAGTTTGAATGAGTGTTCTCTGCTGAGAGGTAGGTGGATGCGAATATACAAAAGGAAGTGGGAGCCCAGGATTTGGACAGTGGCTCAGTGGTGGAGGGAGAAATGGAGATTAAAAGATAGAGCCCATGGGAAAACAGTGAATGTGGTAAAAAATAATAATAATGATGATGATAATGGTGATAATGTCAGAAGCCACCATAACTGGAGTCTGGGACTCTTCTGATGAGGACTTTTACTAACTCCCTCTGTATTTGGTCAATCCATTTTTACTACAATGAACCTCCCGCATTAATTCAACCAAAATGAAATGACTTACTGAATGTGTGTAACACTACATCATCAATTTTCCTGGATCTTTTATTTATACATGTCCTATCCAGGACTTAGTCTCCATCATTGTGTGAGTCAATCATTATAATAAATTAGTACTATAATATGTAAATAATGTATACATTAGATATATACTTGATTTTTTCCTATGGAGAGGCCTGACCAATACAGGTCATTTCCCAACTTCTGTTGTGGGTTGTGCACATAGTGACTCAACCACGGCAGCTTCCTTAGATTGCACAGGGGAAGGTGAGAGGGCCCTTTAGGAAGAGATGCCCAGAAACACATGCAAGATAAGTGATGCAATTAAATGTGTCATGCTTGCTGGACGCCATCTAAGAATGCTCCCCCGAAGGACAGATTTACTTATGGCACACCCAAAGTGTGCTAAAATTCACTGGGTCCTGAGAGCTCTCCTTGATGTTCCCATCTTCGTTCGATCCATCACCATGTACAGTGGGCACAAGAGCCTAGGAAATGGATTCAGAAATTATTGTGAGGAGATGGGGATAAAATGCAGTGTTTTCAGATCCATAAAGCTGTAACGTGAGCAATACAAAATTAAAAAAATTCAAGCAGGATAACAGCAAGATACAATAAGAGACTCAGAAGACTAAGGAAGGTTCTTGGAGAACACTGCAAACAGTTGGCCCAGGATGCTCTCTTCAAGTCAAATCAAGTCCCCCTTCGTGGGCCATCACAACAGGTTCTTACTTTCAATGTCTTTACCCACACCTCTTATAACTGGGGCCTGGGTGCTTCTCAACCTCTAGACCTGTACATACTGGAAGGTTTGACAGTGCCGAGACAGATGCCCTCGAGTGTCACCGTAACACTGCTCCCTTGGGTCCTCTGTATGGGAGTTTGAGGCAGCATCTGATGCTGTAAGCACAAAGTAACACCTCCAGAGTTGTGTAGAGCCACGTCCGACTTCTTTCAGTTAAGCCTAAGGAACTGAGGAGTGAACCCTGAGATTCTCTACAGATGAGGTATGAAAGTACCGACAAAGACTGGAGATGAAAAGCAGGCAACTAGTAGCTTGTTGGATTTACAAAATGTTTCCTATAATATCCAGAACAAGATAAGGAGAACTGTGGGCTGATTATATGTATGTGCACATGTGTGTGCATAAGTGTGCTCACACATACAGAGGCCCTCAGTCCACACTAGGAGCCTTCCTTTATTTTCGCCTTACTTTTTAAAGCATGATCTCTCGGAAAACATGGGTTTGTGGCTTTGTCAGAGTGGCTAGCCGCCAAGTCCCCATAATCCACCTGTCCCCCTCCCTTCTATCCGCCAACACTATGGTTACAGACACGCTGTGCCTGTCTTTTTCCTGGGTGCTGGGGTTCTGAATCCAAGTCCTCATGCTTACACAGCAAGCATTTTGCCCACTGAACCATCTCCATAGTTCCTTAATATTCCCACTGTTGTTGTCTCTATTTAACACAACACTAGAAGTTTTGGCCAAGGCGATTAAGCAAAAGAAATAAATAAAGGGCATTCGAGTTGGAAAATGAGACTAATTAGCCTTATTTACAGATAGCATGATCACACACATAGAGAACCTAAAGAGTCCATAAAACTATATCAAATAAACAAGTTCCAAAAACAAATTGCACAATACCAGTTGGGTATATGAAAAAATCTTAGCAACATTCCAGTAATAAACTGCCAGAAAAAAACGAGAAAGCAATCATTTTTACAATAGCAACAAAAAAAATAGAATACTTGTGAATAACTTTAGCCAGAGTTGAAATGTCTCTACAGTGAAAACTGGAATACATAGATGAAATAAATTGAAGAGGATACAAAAGGCCACATGTTTACAAATTCAAACCAACATTGTTTAAATTCTCCTACTTCCAAAATGATCACCAGATTGACTGCAACCCTTATCAAAAAAACCAATGACAATCCTTACAAAAATGAAAAACAGCACAAAAACTGGTATGATGCACCAAAGACCCCAAATAACCAGGACAATATTGAGGGGGGAAAAAAGAAAAAGACCAGAGGCTGACTATAAACTACCCCACAAAGCCTCAGCAAGCAAAGCAGCAGGGAACCGACATAAATGTACACTAGGAAATACAGAACAAGAACCCAGATTTAAAGCCATCCATTTATAACCAGCTGATTTCATTCATCCATTCATTCACTGTGTTGTATGAGTGCACATGCACACATACATGTGCAGAGGTCAGAGGACAAGAGTCTCTCTCTTTCCACCATATGTGTCTCAGGAACCACACTCAGGTCGCCAGGCTAAAAGGAACGCATGGGATTACGTCAGACGTCAAAGCTTCTTCACGCAAGAAAATAAACAGAGAGACTGAAGAGACCACTGAGTATGTAAAATACATGCTACACACATGAGGAAGTACTTCACTTTGATGCAGAATTCACATTACAAGTGGTAGTGATGGTTTGTGTTCCCTGCCCTGGGGTGCAGAGATAGATGTGAGCTCCTGAGGCTCCGTGGCCAGCTAGCCTGGCTGACTTGGCAACTTCCAAGCCAACGAGAGGTCCCTCCATACACTCATCTCAAAACTTTACAAAAGGGATGTGCAAGCCGGGCGATGGTGGCGCACACCTTTAATCCCAGCACTCAGGAGGCAGAGGCAGGCGGATCTCTGTGAGTTCAAGACCAGCCTGGTCTACAGAGTGAGCTCTAGGACAGCCTCCAAAGCCACAGAGAACCCTGTCTCAAAAAAACAAAAGCAAAGGGGGAATGTGCAGTGTCTGAAGAACACACCCCAGGTTATCCTCTAAGCTATACACACACATATGTGAACACACAAACGAGTTAATAATCGACAGAGTGAAGAGAAAAACGATAGGAGAGAAACATTTCCAAGATATGTCTCCGGCAATGGTTTAATACCCAAAATATATAAGGAAATCAAACAATAGTAAAACCCACAAATAATCAGATTTTAAAATGGACCAAGCCTACAGGATAAGCATTTCTCAAAAATCAGGCCTCCATATGACCAAGAGGCATGTGAGAAATGCTCATGGCCACTCATCACAGGAGAAAATGACAATCAAAATTACAATGAGACGTCACTACATCCCAGGGAGAAATGTTGGTGAGTGTGTAGAAAAAGGGGAAGTCGTGTACTTTTGAATAAAACATAAATTAATACAGCCATTATGGGAAAATGCATGGGGATTCCTCAAAACTTTACAAACAAAACCATCATATGGTCCAGCAATTCTAATATTAGGCATATATTCAAAGTATGTTAAAGGATACCTGCACTGCCGTATTTATTGTAGTAGTATTCATGAGAGCCAAGAGATGGAATCCGTCTAGACATCTGTCAACTGATAAAAGGACAAACAAATTTTGGCTTACATATGCAACTGAATACTATTTGATCATGAAAACTAAGCAAATCCTATCATTTGCAATAATATTAATGAGCCTGGAGGGTGATGTGCTTAGTGGAAATGAACTGTACACAGGAAGATAAATACATTTTATAATCCTGCTTATATAATGTATCCAAAATAATCAAAGTCATTGAATTCTCAGTAGAATGGTGTTTAGTCGGGTCTGGTGAAAGGAAAATGGGGACTTTTTAAATAAAATGCATCAAGTTTCAGTCAAACAAGATAAAGACCTAAATCTGGTGTGTAAAATTGTATCTATTGTCAACAGTGGGGTATTACACATAAAAATATGCTGATAGATAGGCCTCATGCACATGTATAGAGAGGTACGTGCAGTGTATGTATGCGTGTGCACAAACTATATATGTGCACATGGAGGACAGAGGTCAACATCAGGTATGTTCATCAATCACCCCACCTTATTTTTTGAGTCAGGGTCTCTCATTAAAGCTGGAACTCATCACTTCAGCCAGACTGGTTGCCAGTGAACCCCCAAACTACCTGTCTTGTCCCCACAGCTGGAGTTTCAGGCACAGAGGCAGCGATGCTTGGTTTTACATAGACACTGGGTAGCAGAGCTCGGAGTGCTCATGTTTGTACAGTATCCACTCCAACCACTGAGCTGACACTAAGGACTCTTCACACAATAAAATAAAATTTTTAAAAAGAAGAGAACTTTGAAAGGTTAAAGCAAAGTTTAAAACATTTGAAAATCAAAACAGTAAGTTAGTGAAAATCTGTCAAAACAGAAACATCGGTTTGCAGAAATGTCTAATTCGATCCACAAGGAACAAACTATTTCAGCTTCATGTGAAATGTTCCAGAGACTAGGGGTAACTACTTCTCAGTTCAGCAGACATGTAATGACAGAGCATCATATGTTCAAATACAATAAAGACAGTGAGAGAATTACCTGCAGATCAAACTCATGAACACACAAAAGTCTTCCATGTCACACTGGCACAAAGTTTAGTACTGCACAGAAAGAGTGCAGATCCATCTGGGTGGTGGTGGCACATCTGGATGATGGTGGCACACGCCTTTAATCACAGCACTTTGGAAGCAAAGGCAGGAGGTTCTTAGTGAGTTCAAGAGGTGATCTACAGAGTGAGTTCCAGGACAGCCAGGACTTTTACACAGAGAAACCCTGTCTCAAAAAAGGAAAAAAAAGTGATTGGATATAAGACTAATATACAACATAAATAGCATTTTAACGCCAAAACCCAGGAAGATACCATTTATAATAACATTAAGATATGGATGCTATAAGGTCTGCATGAGACAACTATCAGAGACCTTTTCTCTTCCTTAAGTGATTTTTATTGTTTTATGGATAGTTTATTGGCTTTATCATTTACTTGAGAACTTCATACATGGTTTTATCATATTCACTCTCCTTTAGCCAATTTGTCCCAAATCCAACCCTGCTCTCTTCCCAACTAGGCCAATTTGTACTACCAAAATATTCTCAGATGGACGGCCTTCTACTGTCTCATGGTCAACTTATGAGGGGCTACACTATTAGTGAAAACCAACCCTTCCTCTTCCAGAACTAACAATTGCAAATATCTCCAGGGCTAGGAATAGAATTCCGTGTCCAACTGCCCTCTCCATGTTGGAATTTGGTCTGGTTTAGGCTTGAACATGTCCTGTGCATGAACCATTGTGAGTTCATGTGTGCAGCTGCTTGGTGGATCCAGAAAACTCTGTTCCTTATTGTTATCCACAGCCTCTGGCCATTACACTCTTTCTGCTCCATCTTCCACAATTACCCCTGGGCCTTTGAAGGAGGGCGTGTGCTGTATATATCCATTTAAGGATGGGTATTCTGAAATCTCTTGCTGTCTGCACTGCGGCCAGTTGTGTGTCTCTGTTTACTTGTGTGTATGGGGGAGGGGCAAGGCGTACTCATAGGCTATAAGAAAGCATAGGATCCCATGAGGCTGGAGTTACAGGGGTTGTAAGCAGCCCCATATAGGAACTGGGAACTGAAGCAAGTGCTCTTAACCACTGAGCCATCTCTCCAGTCCCAGAAATCTTTCTTGAAAAAAGATTATTAAGTACCAATAAACAGAAAATTGGCCTATAGATTCAATGCAACTCAAAGCAATGTCCAGGGTAGAATTTCTCAGAAATTCATCAAGCTAATTTTGAATTTTATGTGGAAAATGAAAACTCCTAATATAAAGTTCAAGAAAGTAACTATGGTGACATGCCTTTAATCTCAGCACTTAGGAAGCAGGTAGATCTCTGTGAGTTCAAGGCCAGCCTGACCTATAAGAGTAGTTCCAGGACAGGTTCCAAGCTACACAGAGAAACCCTGTCTCAAAAAACCAAAAGACACAAAAGAAATTAAGTGTGGCTTTTGAATCAGGAATATATAATGTAACAAAACACACAAGTCCACACATATTACCAAAATTATATGACTGTAGCTGTTGGCAGCAGCTGAATAGAATGTAATGATTGAATAAAAGAGAAGTCTGAAACCATTAGAAAATGAAAGGGAGCCCTTTATTTCATAGTTCACCAAAAGAAACCAATGCCAAATGGTTCCAGGTTGTAGATGGGAGTCACTGTTTCCAAAGGAATAAAACAAGTCAGGCTCAAGGTGGCTTTCATCGAGTATTATAGCATCATGCTTCAAACAAATTCCTAGCTGAGTATGAAAGCATGGACCTGTAATCCCACTACTCAGGGGTCTCAGAGGGAGCGATCAGAAGTTCAAGGCCAGCATGGGCTACACAAGTTCCTGAACAAATCAAAGTAAACAGCCAGATCTTGTCTCCAAAAGTTAAACAATTATAGTAATAACAAAACTGGCCAGGCGTTGGTGGCGCACGCCTTTAATCCCAGCACTCGGGAGGCAGAGGCAGGCAGATCTCTGTGAGTTCAAGGCCAGCCTGGTCTACAAAGTGAGTTCCAGGACAGCCTCCAAAGCCACAGAGAAACCCTGTCTCGAAAAAAAAAAACCAAAAAAAAAAACCTGCTAAACATGATGCCAACTTCAAATGAAGTTTCCCCAGATAAGTGATCAAGTATACATAACTTAACCTCTATCTGTTCAGTGTCTGTCAATGATGATGACAGATATACCTACCTCAGGGAGTCTGTGTAATACTTGAATGACATAGTCCATATGGATTACTTAATGTAGGCTATGGCAAGAAGGAAGCACTTCCGCCATCACTTCTACGACTGTTACTCTGGCACATTCTTCCTAATGCACCAGGCCAGTTTTTCTCTGCTTTAGAAAGCCAGAACATGGGAAGGAAGCAATTCTTTTGAAACGCCTTGCTCTGATGATCCAGCCCTCCATAGCTAAGCATATGAATATGCTCTGGCCTCTAAGCTCATATTCTTTCTGCATGAATATGGAACTCACTATCAGGGGTCTAATCAGCTTGGGACCTTTAGCTTCATGGCTGGGTACTCAAGCACTGAGCGTTCAACTCAACACATCGTGATACCCAACCCTGGCCTTTGGAGGAGGTGGGCTCAGCCCTCCCAGAAAACCAAACCTGAAGTATAAGAGCAGTAAACAGCTTCTATCTGCTACTTGCTCCACCATGAAGCCTGCTAAGCTGGGGTTTCTCCTAGGATTCTTCATCTTGTGCTTACTCACAGCCCCTGCACTAAGTGGTGTTGCCAGACTTACTAAGGAAATCTGCCACAAATACAAAGGTATGGATAAGGTTAAAACAGAAGGTAAATTCCAAGGCCAATTATGAATGAGGGAGAAAGAAATGGAAACATTTCCACTGAGTGGGCCAGATAGATCCTCTCCTGTGGCAACGCCCAGCAACCTTCAGGGCCTTAACTCAGGCATGCTTTACTTTGGGGGACTTGTGAGTGTCCAGATAGCGTAAAACAATATCTAGTACAAGTAAGTTCTTTCCAGACAGAGAATTCTTTTGTAGGAGGTCAAAGACTGGAAACATTCTAAGATATGAGGTTTCTGACATATTTCAAGGAATTCAGATCTTCCAAGAGCATGCATTGGAATGAGAGAGATGAATTTGGAGAGTGATATAATTGAGGTATATCCTGCATTTGGGCTCTGGGCACATAGAAAGCATCTGAGCACACTGCACCTATACAGAAGAGTTCACAGCGTGGCTAGGGCCCATAAATGACTTGTTCCCCAAGTCTAAGTGATACAGTCTATACTTTGATTCAGATTCCAAACTCAAGCCCTGTCATTTAGCAGATGTGTGCCTTTGGCCACGACTCTGAACCAATTATCATCTCTGCCACCCAACTTTGCCCATTTGTAAAACAAAAAATTTGAAAATCAGAGAGCATTTGTGACTATAAAATAAAATCAGGCATGTAAGCAGGCCTAGATAAGTAGTGTTGCTAGAGAATAGACTACAGGCTGGCAGCTTGAGGAAGGAAGATGGGTAGTAAGCACTGGGCTATCAATATAGCCACCAGTGTGACTATTTTAATCACTCATACCCACCACTTAGCCAATAAAAAAATGAGGCAGCTCCTTCCTGGAAACCAAGAGAAGAAGTGAAGGATAGCAAGGTGTGAGGGTGAAAGGCTATCACACCCCTGGTCTGCATCCAGCTTTCAGAGCAACAGAAGACAGAATCACCTGAATTTTTGAAATGCAGGTTGTATAAAGATATGTAGAGGGGGGGTTCGTTGTTAACTGTGTGTCTTCAGGGGGCAGCTGAAAAGATAGGCAACGAGCACATAGAGAAGCAGAATGCCAGGATATCCTGCAAGGTGTGCAGTGTAAGGGACCTTGTCACTTTACACAAGCTAAGCCATTCACAATCCAGTCCTTCCCCAAATCACTGCCCAGGACCACAACCTAGAGATGTAAGCTGTTTGTGTTGGACAAAGATGGCTTTGCCATGTGACTCTAGTTATACCAGAAAAGGCAGAAACTTCTCAGGGTCCTTGAACAAAAATGTTTTCAAGCTAAAGGAAGGAATTTTTCTTTTATTGTATGTGCGAGCATCTGCACATGTCTACACCTGCATGCATGCAATTATTCATGCATGCATACTTATGAACCATAGCATGCATGTGACAACAGAGGGCAACTGGAGGGAGCTTGTCCTCTCTTCCCACCATATGGGTTCCAGAGAGATATCTCCAGTTGTCATCTCCCCCTAAGCCACCTTGCCATCCCAAGCAGGAATTTTTTTTTGTTTTTTGTTTTTGAGTATTTTTATTTTAATTTTAAATAGCTTGTTTTACATGTCAATCCCAGTTCCCTCTCCCTCCCCTCCTCCCACACCCCCCCACCATCCCCCCCATCCTCCCACCCTATTGCCAATTTCTTCCACATAGGGGATATCTAGAGTTTATCGTTTCACTCAGGGTAGGGTCCAGGCACTTCCCTAAGAATCCAGGCAGAGAGAGCATCCCTCTTTGTGTTATGGACACACGATGTCTGTTAGTATTCGAGGGATAAACACTGATCCACTGCTCAGGACTCCTTAGGTAGCCCAGGCCTCCTCACTGACTCTCACATTCAGGGGGTCTGGATCGGTCCCATGCTGTCCTCCCAACTGTCAGTCTGGGGTCCAAGAGCTCTCCCCTGTTCGGATCAGCTGCCTCTGCTGGTTTTGCCAGCCCATTCTTTGCCAATTTGCTCATTGCTCCTCT